AAATAACATTCATTTAATAAAAATTTAGATAGTATATTAATTTTTAAACATTGAAATCAAATCTATATTTAATACTTAATAGAATAAAAGAAATCGTTTAGGGGGCTATCAAAATAATTTATTTTTATCTCAGGGGTTTATTAGAGAGCTATTAAAAATAAAATTTATTGCTTCAGGGGGTTATTTAAATTTTTCAAGGGGCTCGAGCCCCTGCGTGCTCTCTCATAGGCTAGCCAGGATTTTCTTAAGGAGGGATTAAAAAATTATTAGGGGCTTTGCCCCCAGATTCTCTTTGGATGGGTCTTCGGCCCGCTTTTGCCCGGCCTTCGGCCGGGTTACCTTAGTCTATATATAGTTATAAAATATTTTTACAAGATACAAGGTAATTTTAATAAAAAAAAAACTGGAACAAATATGAAATATATTTCCATTAGTTTGTATAAAATATAATAATTACTTGTATATAAATTAATATAAAAGCATGGTAATAATTAATTCCAAACAAGTATAAGAAATTTAATGATAAAAAGTAGTCATATAGTTGATATTCCTCTATTATATAGAATTAGTTACAAAAAACTAGGTAAAATTCCACTTTTACAGACATATTTGACAGTTAGAGAATATGTTACAGTTAATATTTTTACTAATCAATACTCTTGATAATAAATATAGCAACAATTAGCATTTAATTATTTAACGCCATCTATTTATTTTAAATAAAAAATGATATTAAAATTAATCTTTATATTATTCATCCCACAATGTCTTTAAAAGATATTTTCTGATGTCCTTATCAATATTTTATAGTTTTCTGTAAAATTTATAATTCGCTATAGGTAAAAATTACTTGATTGTCATATGATAATTGATAAAATTAGTTATACTGTAAATCTACCACATATAATATTCCATTGTTTGTATTGTGCTTTAATTTTTTTATTTAATTTATGATTTAATTTTATCAATAGTTTTATAATTATATTTTACTTTTATTAAGATAAATAAATTAAAATTACTCATTTTATAAAAAATTATATTTGATATATTAAATTATTTAGTAATTTTATGGATCTATTATTAATTAAAATACATTACACTTTTGTCTTAAGACTTATCTTTGGCTTACATTCCATTTACTAAAAAACATTTTTGGTCTACTTTATATATATAAATGCTTTTTTCCAAAAATGTATAAAGTATGATGTATAGTTTTATAAAAAAATATTTACTTTTACATTCTTTCTTTCAAATTATTGTTTAAGATATATGCATACATTTTTGAGGGTCAGGCAGTTGGGGGAGGACTAAGTGGGATATTTTTTACTAGCTTAAAATGATATTCACAAAAAGTGATAAATTTCTGAAGGGAGGGGGGGGAATTTCTCTTCCCACCCCCGGCTACGCCTATGTGCCCCCTAGTGACGTTATTGTTTCAAAGATAATCTATGAATTCTTTAATCTATGATAATTGTGTTCATCTAATTTCAACCACGTAATTTTCTTTAAAATAGGAGCATTGCAGCAATTATAAAAGCTGTCCAACAATCCTCTAAGGTACAAACTGATACTGTATTATTTATTAATAATTGTTTCACGTCTTCTATTATTCTTTCATATTTAAATGGATTATTTTTGTTATTTAGTAGCACTAACTGATATAACCTGGTAAGCCTTTATAATCAGTCAAATGAAGGATGAATTTTCCACAACAGAAAAGATATACAAATCTTCAAATACAAATGCGATAATCAATGGCTATAATAAAGTCATTAAGCATATTTTGGAATGGCAAAGCATGAGTGGTATTTTTTTTTAAAAAATAATATTTTAACAATAAATTATTTCCCATCATCATTATCTGGATGATTTGAAGTAGCAAGGGCATTTTTTATTTTAATTTTTTAGCTTAGTTAATTGTTGGGAATGGTTCCTATTATTTAATTTTAATTATTTTTAATAATTAACACTCCTAAATGCAATTTTAAATTTAAAGAGGAAATTTTGCATACACTAAGGGGGTAATAAAAATTTTTAAGAAATATTATTGTAATTAAAAATACTATGCATAAATTTATTAGGACTGATAACTTTTCTAATACACAATTTTAAATTAATGTGAATTATAAAAAAATTATATATATTAACCGGCATTGAAAAACTATAAAATAAATGTGAATTATCGATATAAATCTGAAATTTGAATTTTTTGAGCCTTTAAAATATATAAAGTATATAAATTTAAATGATGGAAATATAAATTAATACACAAAATGTTTCTTAGAAATAATTGCATTTTGTAATTTTGCAATTATCTATCCTTGCTTGTCGTTAAATGCCTATGAATATTCAAAAGATCCAAATCATTCAATCTACTTTCAGAAGTTGTACTTCATAGGTATGTTTTTCAGAGACGGCCCGGCCCCCGAGCCAGACCGTATTTTAATTTTTTTAAACATACCCAGGCCGGGCCTGAAAATTTTTTAAAAAAAATATCCGGGCCGAACTGCATATTTTAAAACCAATATTTTAAATCGCCATTATTAGCTATAAAAATCAAAAATAAATATAATTTATTTTAAAAAATTTCGGACCGGGCCTGAAAATTTTATTTTTAAAAAAGCCGGGTCGGGCTTGAAAATTTTTTTAAAAAAAATATCCGGGCCGAACTGCATATTTTAAAACCAATATTTTAAATCGCCATTATTAGCTATAAAAATCAAAAATAAATATAATTTATTTTAAAAAATTTCGGACCGGGCCTGAAAATTTTATTTTTAAAAAAGCCGGGTCGGGCTTGAAAATTTTTTTAAAAAAAAACCCAGGCCGAAAAAATTTTTTTAAAAAAATCTGGACCGTGACCTGCAAATGGTACCTCTGCAGGGCTCTGTTATTCTTCTTAAAAAATAGAATTTTCTCTCTTTTAGTTTACTAATGGGAAGAGTTGCTAATATCTATAACCATTTTAATACATTGGGAATATAATCTAAAATGTGTTTGAAATATGCAACGCATCCATAGCATTTTTTGGGACTGTATCAACATAGTTAATCTTTTAATCATAGTTATTCAGCTAATAAGGCATCATAAGATATTTTAACATCTTCATGATAAAAATCTAACAAATATTTTTTTTCTATCATCATCTGAAATAGGTTGGAAAGGCATTTGTGGAAGTAATATCTGCGGATTTATAAGTGCTGCATGATGAATTAAAAAACATTCATTTATTTGGGTTATAAATGCATCTAAGAGAGGGACATTTGTTTTACAATACTCTTCTACTGAACCTATATTAATGTTTTGACGATGAGCTTGCTTGCTGCAAGTCGAGGGGGACAAATATTAAACACGTATAGCTGGTTTTTGACTCAACAATAACATAAAAAAATTCTTCATCAACATTAGCTCGAATTTGCTTGAGTTCTATTAAAATGCTCTCCGCTATTATCATCTTCTTAATCAAGTCAATGTCATGTTTTTGAAATGTATTAAATAAAATAGTCGTATAATTAAATATTACATTCTAATGAGAAAAAAAATTTGGAATAAGTATTGAATCCAATAATTTTCTTGCTTCCGAGGAAATATTTTTTTCAAGCCATTGTGATATTTCAGTAATAGCATTAATAATCGGCTTTTCTAACTCCATAAAAGCTGTTACTGCTTGATGGTGAAGACTCGATCTCGTTGGACAAGCTTGCAATTTCTTTCTCCCTGTTGGACAAGGAGTTTCAGAGATTATTATTTGACTAGAAATTTAGATAAATAATACGCCGCTAAAATTTGAAAATAATAGGTAAATTACGCCAAGGAAAACTTGATCGAAATTAATTAATAAAATAACTTAGTAGATGAATGTGATAAATAAATATATATATGAGATAGGAATAAATATTAACAAATATAAATTAATATTAACAATAATATTTTTGAAAAATATAATCCGGCATCTGCATTTTTTTAGCTTTGGGGGCTGGTTTTACTTTTTTGGCTTACATAATTTGCATTTAACTGTCTGAGTTTCAATATCCAAATTTTCTTTACCCTTAAACATAAAATACTCATGATATAAGTTAAAATCAAATTTAAATATTTCCGGGGATTTTTCTACAAGATGTCATTTTTCAGAATTTAAATTTTGCAGCCAATATTAACCTCCCATTTCCTATCATCGAAAAGCAGAAGCCCTTAAAAAGAATATCGCTGGTCCCACAATCTTAAGGAGGCACTCAATTTTCTTAAGCATTTACTTCTCTCTAGGATGACATGTTCCTTTTTTTAAAGTCCTTTTTAATGTTTATAAAATTCTATATATTATATATATTTTTTTCATATAATTTAAATATATTCATTTTTCTTAAATATATTTTCTTTTGATAAAGTATTGTATCTTGTTTTTAAATTGAAACCCTTTTTAAAATAAAATTAATAAACGAAAAAAAAAATTGATAAAGTTGAAAGGATTTGAATAAATTTTAATTTTAGTTATATTCATCTTTTTAGAATACTTAATACAATTTTTTTCAAGTAGCTTAATATAGATATTTTTATAACTAGAGCTACTCAAAAAGAGCGACATTATTAATCGGCTACATTTTATAATAGCGTTGCTACCAATCGGTACTTAAACATATAGCGCGATTGCGATACATTTAATATCAACTTTAACAGCATTAAAAATTATATGGAAAATAAATTCTGTTGCCAAATTAATGTTTTTTCAAAGTTCTTTTTCGACAATCAATTTTATAATAACACTTCAATGCACAAATATAAAGGCTAAACTTAATATATTAATGCTTTGGTATAATAATTTATTTTAAATAAAGAATAAAATGTGTTAATTATTAAAATAGAATTAAAATTATGATATTTTTCTATGAACGTTTCGAAAATTGGAACAGATTGCAAAAAGGATATGATAAAATGAAAGAAATAAAATGTAATAATGATGTTTGGAATTAAATTTTATCAAAACTTTTCATAAATATATAATCGTTGAGTATATTGAACCATAATCACTGTGCTTTATTGCTAACTTTAACTGCCTCGTATTTCTGTTGCAATTTGTCCTTTTCTATAATATAAAGAAATGATATTAAATTATAATTTTGTCCAAAAATGAGAAAAAACACCATAAATACTAGCATCACAAGAGGGGGGGGGTATAACATTATCAGCTGGTCTAAACTAAATTTTACCGCACGCTTTTTGTAAACGCATAAATATTAATTTATTTTTTTCTCTTTAGCTTTCACCTTTTCTGGTGGTAAGCTCCTTCAACATCTCTCTCCAATATATGTTATTCATACAATCTCTTTTATCTAATTTAAACTTTTTTACATTGGCTCTAACTTTATGGCCCCATTATGCTTTAATAAATTAATACTTATTGACTCAGGCACGTACGCAGGAATTTGGTCTGGGGTGGGGGATGATAAAATTTTTTAAGAAATATTATTGTTATTTAAAATTGTTATTTAAAAATATTAAGCATAAATTTATTAGGACTAATAACTTTTCTAATACACAATTTTAAATAAATGTAAATTACAAAAAAATTATATATATAAACCGGCATTGAAAAACTATAAAATAAATGTGAATTATAAAATATAAAGTGAATTTAACCACGATATGAATCACTTAAATGACCCAAAATTGAAATTTGAATTTTTTGAGCCTTTAAAGTTTATATATAAAGTATAAATTTAAATGTTGGAAATATAAATTAATACACAAAAAGTTTCTTAGGAATAATTGTATTTTATATGTTTTGAGCTAATTTTTTAATTATCTATCCTTGCTTAACGTTAAATATTCAAAAGATCAAAATCATTCAATCTACTTTCAGAAGTTGTATTTCATAGGTATGTTTTTCAGAGACTTACAGGCCGGCTCCCGGCCGGACCGTATTATAATTTTTTTAACATACCTGGGCTGGGCCCAATTTTTTTTAAAAAAAACACCATAGCTGGGCCTAAAAATTTTATTTTTTTAAAAAAAAAATCCAGGCCAAGCTGTATATTTTAAAACTAAATATTTGAAATCGCCATTATTAGCTATAAAAATCAATAATAAATATTATTTATTTTAAAAGAATTCGGGACGGGCGGGCCTGAAAATTTTATTTTCAAAAAACCGGGCCTGAAAATTTTATTTTCAAAAAAACCGGGCCGGGCCTGAAAATCTTTTTAAAAAAAACCCGGGCCGAAAAAATTTTAAATCCGGGCCATGTCCTGAAAATGGTACCTCTGCAGGGCTCTGTTATTCTTCTTAAAAAAGAAAATGTTTATGGGAAGAGTTGTTAATATATATATATACAACCATTTTAATACATTGGGAATATAATCTAAAATGTGTTTGAAATAATGCAAAGCATCCATAGCATTTTTTAGGACTGTATGAACCATAGTTAATCTTTTAATCATAGTTATTCAGCTAATAAGACATTATAAGATATTTAAACATCTTCGTGATAAAAATCTAACAAATATTTATTATTTTTTCCATCACCATCTGAAAAAGGTTGGAAAGGCATTTGTGGAAGTAATATCTGCGGATTTGTAAGTGCTGCATGATGAATTAAAAACCATTCATTTATTTGGGTTATAAATGTATCTAAGAGAGGGACCATTTGTTTTATAAAACTCTTCTACTTATCCTATACTAATGTTTTGACGATGAGCTTGCTGCAAGTCGAGGGGAACAAATTTTAAACACGTATAGTTCTGCTTTTAACTCAACAATAACATAAAATATGTTCATCAACATTAGCTCTAATTTTCTTGAGTTTTAATAAAATGCTCTCCACTATTCGCATCTTCTTAGTCAAGTCAATGTCATGTTTTGAAAAGTATTACATAAAATAGTTGAATAATTAAATAATACATTCTAATGAGAAAAAAAAATTGAAATAAGTTATGAATCCAATAATTTTCTTGCTTCTGAGGAAATAATTCTTTCAAGCCTTTGTGATAATTCAGTAATAGCATTAATAATCGGCTCTTCTGACTCCATAAAAGCTATTATGCTTGATGGCGGAGACTCGATCTCGTTGTACAAGCTTGCAATTTCTTTCTCCCTGTTGGACAAGGAGTTTCAGAGATAATTATTATTTGACTAGAATTTTAATATGCCACTAAAATTTGAAAATAATAGGTAAATTACGCCAAGGAAAACTTGAAATCAAAATTTGATAAAATAACTTAATAGATGAATGTGATAAATAAATATATATATGAGATAGGAATAAATATTAACAAATATAAATTAATATTAACAATAATATTTTTGAAAAATATAATCCGGCATCTGCATTTTTTGGCGTTGGGAGGGCGCCCCCCCCCCGCTGCATACCCGCCTGTATTGACTATATTAATCTAAATAATAAATAAAAATTAACAATTCACAAATTATTAATAAATTTAAAATTGAGATAGAAATCAAGATAAACCCCTCATCATTCCTTGTGCACCCAATCAAAAGAATTTTAAGCATACTTAATGTCATCACTGGGCTTATTTTATAATGTTGAATATGTGATCGATATTAACGTTTTATTTATTTTGGCAATTGATTTTTTTTTTTGATATCAATTTGTTTTTAAATTTAATCTGTGAAAATTTTATATTAACATTTTTTTCATATCATTTTAACGTAACATTTTTTTTAATATCAATTCGTATTTCACATAATTGGTTATTTTTTTATTGTTAAAAGAAAAGATATAAAAAGAAAAATTGTTTTTGGTTAAAGGGTGAATAAAAAAATGTAATTTATAATAAATAAAATGTGATTTATGATAATAAAATTCTGTCTTATTTTGTTTAATTATTTTGTCATGGTATCAATAAATAAACGAGGATCTTATTCAATTTTTACATATAAATAATTATATACATTTATATCTATAATGTCAATCCATTGTTTAAGATTTTGTGATGGGTAGAAAAGAAAGAAAATTGTATTACAGGGTTTCCCATTCAAAAAAAGAAAAAGTCCCAATCAAAAAAGGAAAAGTTTCAATCATAAAAGGAAAAGGTCCAAACAAAAAAGGAAAAGTGTCAATCAAAAAGGAAAATTCCCAAAAAGAAAGGAAAAAGTCCGATCAAAAAAGGAAAAGTGTCAAACAAAAAAGGAAAAGGTTCAATCAAAAAAGAAAAAGTGTCAAACAAAAAAGGAAAAGGTCCAATCAAAAAAGAAAAAGTGTCAATCGAAAAAGGAAAATTCCCAAAAGAAAAGGAAAAGTGTCAATCAAAAAAGAAAAATTCCCATTCAAGAAAGGAAAATCGTAATTTTTTTAAAAAAAATTATAAATTTTTCAATTTTTCTTAAATTTTTATTTATTTTTGTCATTCCTTCTTATTTTATTTCTAACTTTTTGCGATTTCTTTACTTTATTTGTATCTTTTCTCAATTTATTTATATCTTTCTTTTCTCAATTGTTTTTCTTCTCATTTTTGATAATTCTTTTGTATTTTTAAAAATATTTATAAATTTAGGTCAATTTTTTAACAATTCTTTAAGTTTTTTTTCGTCATACATACGTAATTTATGAAGGGATCATAACTATCCGGGATCTTTACTGGATATTACAATTTTTTACAGGATAAAGAACTATACGGCATTATCACGTTTGAACCATGATATCAGGCGCGTACGCAGGAATTTGGTCTGGGGGGGGATAATAAATTTTTTAAGAAATAATATTTTTAATTAAAAATACTAAGCATAAATTTATTAGGATTAATAACTTTTCTAATACACAATTTTAAACTAATGTGAATTAAAAAAATTATATATATAAACCGGCATTTAAATGTGAATCATAAAATATAAAGTGAATATAACCCACGATATGAATCACTTAAATGACCCAAAATTGAAATTTGAATTTTTTTAGCTTTTAAAATATATAAAGTATAAAAAATTTAAATGTTGTAAATATAAATTAATACACAAAAAGTTTCTTAGGAATAATTGTATTTTGTATGTTTTGATGAGCTAATTTTTCAATTATCAATCCTTGCTTGGCGTTAAATGTCTATGAATATTCAAAAGATCCAAATCATTCAATCTACTTTCAGATGTTGTATTTCATAGGTATGTTATTCACAGACTTGCAGGCCCGGCCCCCGAATTTTAATTTTTTTAAATATACCCGGGCAGGGCTCGTAATTTTTTTTTAAAAAAACACCCGGGCTGGGCCTGAAAATTTTTTAAGAAAAAATATCCGAGCCGAGTTGTATATTTTAAAACCAAATATTTGAAATCGCCATTATTAGCTATAAATATCAAAAATAAATATAATTTATTTTAAAAAATTCGGGCTAGGCTAGCTGGGCCTGGTCCTGCAAATGGTACCTCTGCAAGGCTCTGTTATTCTTCTTAAAGTGAATGTTCTCTCATTAGTTTACTAAAGAGCTGCTAATATATATATAACCATTTTAATAATTGGGAGTATAATCTAAAATGTGTTTGAAATAAAAAGCATCCATAGCATTTTTTGGGACTGTATCAACCATAGTTAATCTTTTAATCATAGTTATTCAGCTAATAAGGCATCATAAGATGATATTTTAACATCTTCATGATAAAAATATAACAAATATTTATATTTTTTTTCTATCACCATATGAAAAAGGTTGGGAGAGGGGTACTCTTCTACTGATCCTATATTAATGTTTTGATGATGAGCTTGCTTGCTGCAAGTCGAGGGGGACAAATATTTAACACGTATAGCTCTGCTTTTGACTCAACAATAACATATAAAATATGAAATTCTTCAACAACACTAGCTCTATTTCCTTGAGTTCTAATAAAATGCTCTCCGCTATTCTCATCTTCTTAATCAAGTCAATGTTATGTTTTTGAAAAGTATTACATAAAATAGTTGTATAATTAAATAATACATTCTAATGAGAAAAATAATTTGGAATAAGTATTGAATCCAATAATTTTCTTGCTTCTGAGGAAATATTTCTTTCAAGCCATTGTGATATTTCAGTAATAGCATTAATAATCAGCTCTTCTAACTCCAAAATAGCTGTTACTGTGGCGGAGACTCGATCTCGT